CTCATGTCTCAACTGAAATGGAATATTTTACATTTCTTTAAGTTTAGAGATTTTATTATATTTTACAATTCTTAAAAGTTTAGAGATTTGAGTTTACTTGGGTTGGACCATGTTCTCCTTATATATCTATTTGATCTTTTGATTATTTTTTACTCTTTATGTATCTTAGCAGCATTCAGAAGAGCTTGCACTCAGCATTTTTTAATATTTTCTATTTGAGAACAAGGAAGTTTCGACATTTGTGCAGGAGAATGGTGATGGAACTTCTAGGGATAATTCTAGAGTGGAGGATGGTGAAACTGAGGACTCCTGTACCAAACCAGAAATATCTACCAAACCAGAAATATCTAGTAAAAAATCAGGGATTGATCATTTCAACAATGAGGAAAGTAATCCTGTAAAAACTGATGCAATGAGTAAGTTTATGCTTCGAGATCTGTAAAGTTTCATGTATTTGAATATTTTGCTTTGCCCCAACTCATGCCACCAGCACCACCATGAACATATGTACAGTACACCCACAGAGTTGAGGTTGGGTAGGGGGGATTGACTGTCAAAGCATGTTGAATTTTTAACTTGATGCATCTTTATTTTTCTGTCTTTTCTTAGATATATAGAAATCTCCTTTTTTTTGTGTGATGCTTCTACTCTGAACCACTATGAGCATGTTCTGTTGTTTCTTTTACTCTGCTTCTATATTTTAAAACTATATATATATATATATATATATTCTATTATATAAAGCACACAATTCAGAACAAGTTTTGAAGCTATGTCACGCATTTTCTCATATCCAAATTAACCTTATGCAACTGCTCAGATGACAGTCACAGCCATCTTTTCTGTACATGCATCGCACTTGTGTGTAGCCTTCTAGTATATATTTATAAATGAGGACATTGAGATGGATCGATATTGTCAATCCCAACTAATTGGGAGTAGACTTTATTGGTAGCTAGTCACCTTGAGTACTTTGTTGATCCATTCAGCTTTCTGGCCTGTGAGAACGATGCACAGATTGAAGCAATTTTCAGTTTAATGCTTCCCTGTGGCTTATGGATATTTGATGTCTTTTTGTCTGCTATTATCTGTTGTGAAGTCTACAAAAACCCGGGAGTCCTACTTATTGACAATTACGGGCCCTACAAATTTGTACCTTTTACACCATGTTATTCGTTTGATTTCACTATTTAGATGGTAACTGTCCTGCCTGCATCAGTCTGCAAATATCCTGTATGATTAATGTATGAATTTTCATTCTTCTTGACTGCTATTGCCCTGGCATCCTCCTTGCATCGTGCTTTTTCTTCGAGCACGGTTCGTAAGTCGGATGATCTGGGTAACTCCGTCTGTCTAGATCTGGTTTGGTGCGTATGTGAGGGCCAATACGTGCTTCCTTCAGTGTATGATCTTTCAGATCTCGTCCTCTCAGACCTGGAGTGACGAGTTCTGGAAGACCTGGATTGAGTATTGCCTGTCCTGAGGCTTCTACTTTCTCCTTGCAAGGGTGTGGTATTCCTACTACGATTTTCTGAGTGGCGAGGGGGCGCTTTATTTTTGCGCCCCTCTCCTGTCGCCACTTCTTTGTTCTTCATCTGGCGCTTCAAGGCCTCCATGTCCGTCGCTATCTTCTTTATTAATTCGTTTTGCTCCTTCACGCGGCCCTCCAGAACTTGAGGATCAATCCTCCGCCTTTGTCTATCAGGACTTTGTGAACGAGAGTGACGGGGGCTGTGAGTCCGTATTCTCCTAGTATCTCTCCTGGGGTTATGTCGTTGGGACTCCAAGTCCGCCATGGGAGGGATAGAAGGTAATCCTTCACGCCTGGTCCCCCCATCTGGTGTTTGCCCGTCAATGGCGGACTGTGGTAATTCTTCATTGTGCGCCATTGTTCTTCAAGAGGTAAAGCTTGATCAAGAGGTTTTGTCCTGTCTGTTATTCCCACAGACGGCGCCAATTGTACGAGAAAGAAATAAACCTTCTCGTATAATCCTGTTTATCAAGTCTGCGCTCTTCTGTACGTCGTCGCTTTATCACCTGAAAACACAAACGTGAGCTAGTCGGCGGGTGTGTGCTGGAAACCTCTCCGATGTCTAAGTCAGTAAGCTTGACAAATAGACAAAAGCTCTGTGTATTCAGAAAGCAGAGTTGTCTGTTACCTCTCCAAAGGTGATGTTTGTGAGCTTTTATAGGTTTCGTGTGGCACAATCCTAGTAGGACTTCTACTTCTCCATGCAGAGTTCTCCTAGGATTCATACTCCTGAGAGATAATGCTTATCCTTTAACACCCCCCTCACTGCTTAAACCAAGTGAGATGGTTTTTACCATGGCCGAATTCCAACATGACCGAAGTAATCATGGCTATACTGAGCCTCAGAGTAGGCCGAACTATAATTAGTTCGGTTCTTACTTTTACTTCTCCTTATCTCGGTGTTCTTATGTACAAACCATGGTGTGTTTAGACCGAGCTACCGAGTAGTAAGGTTCTGACCGTTTTAACCACAATACGCCATGACTGGACTAACTCATCGACCGGCCTAACTCCAAGTCGCTTCCGGGCCGGAGTAACTTTACATTTCTCTCGGGCCGGACTAATTTTGTACCTCTCTTGGGTCGGAGTAACTTTGCGGCCTTTTTTACTCAGTCCTTCGTATTGTGGGCCATAATGACCCTCTCCCAGCTCGGCCCAATTTTTACAAAAATTACCCTCTCAAGTGTCATATTAATATTTGCCACATTGGAACATCACATTATATATGTCACATTAATAAACGGGTATAATTGTCTACTAAAATACTACCAAAATAAAAAATATGACCACACAGAAAAAAAACTTTCTATTAATAGGACTTAACAGATCAATAGAAAAAAATTAGGACTAATTAGATTACTTGTTTGTGAGATAAAACTTATTGATAAATATCCCTTACTAGTACTTATAATTTAAATTAACAATTTTGATAATCTTATTATTGTACTATAAGAGAGTAATTAAAATTTTTATTTTTTATGTTAATTTTGTTAAATATATATATATTTTTTGATAAGGGAATGTTTATAATTTCCAGAATCACAAGAAGTAAGGGGAAATTGCAATTCAATTGAAGTTTTAAAAATAATTAGTAATTAATTAATTAATGGTAAATTTTATCAATTTTAATAATTAAAATTATAGGTAGCATTTGGTAGAGTTTTTTAAATATGATTTGAGAATATAGTTGTATTTTGAGTTTGTGAGTTTTGAAATTATGATTTGAGTATGAAAATTTTGTTTGGTTATGAGTTTTGAAAAAAATTTTGAATTGAATTTTGAAGGGAGTTTTAAGTTTTTTAAATTAGAAAAGTTATTCAAAAACTTACAACTCATAACCAAATACACAACTCAAAATTCTATTCAAAACTCATATACAAATTTAAAAAAATTCGAAAACATTTTTTTTATTTACAATATAAAAATAACAAGTGCCAAAAAAGAAAAAAGAAAAAAGAAAAAAAAAAGAACATTGTTCTGGTCAACCTGCCAGATGTTCGGGAGGACGATTAGGTTAGCCAAATTTTCCCGCCTAAAAAGGAGTTTTCAAAGTAAGTGTGAAATTATAATTTGAAAACTCAAAACAAACACCACACTCAAATCAGTGAGTGAAAATGTGTTTGGAATACATAATCAAACACAACCATAAATTTTTCTTATGAATTCATAAACATTTTGTGAAGATTCACTGATTTGCAATTGAATAATGCAATAGGCACTAATTAATGTACTAACTAATATACCAATTGATGATGTGATATAATTTAAGAGATTTTTGGTATTTGTAATATGATTAATGAGTAGGGTCAATAATAATGTCATAACTAGTGTTAGTACACTAATTAGTTAGTACATTAATTAGTATATGTAGCACTACCGTTTATAATCTACTTCATATTTGAATTGAAGCAAATAGTAATTGTAATTTACCCATGAATATTGTTATTCAAGTTTAAAATTAAACTAACTTTGGCTCCGTTTCGCAAAGAGGTTTTGGGCTATTTTAGTCACAAAAGACAAAATAGGCTATTTTAGCCACAACAAACAAAACATCACATCCAACTCATAATCATTACATTATTCTCTCATAAAAAAAGTCAAAAAATCCTTCTCAAACTAAGCTTTTTAGTCCAGACTAAAATAGTTAAAAAAGTCAAAAAGTCAACCCACTTCATAAACGGAGGCTTTGTAGACTAATAATGTGTTAATAAAACGATTGATTGATAATTATAACCCAATTATTTTCTTGATATTTATTAACTAATTTTTTTAACATATTATTGAATTTAAAAACTGAGTTTAAAACGTAGAGTTGTATACTATCATTTTCCCTTACCTTAACATATACGAGAGAGAGAGAGAGAGAGAGAGGAGAGAGCGAGAGAGAGCGCGCGCGCCAAATTGAAAAGAATTAGCCACCGAAACAAATCATCCCGGGGTGTTTTGCGAAAAATGAAAAAATTTCAAATAGTCCCGCGTTTTCCCTATCGTTTCTCACTCAGATCCCCATTCTCCTTTTCGTCTATGCTTAACTGTTGTTCATATACTTTCATGCTCTTTAACACTCTTTTCTCTCTCTGCAATCTCTACTTTGCTTTCTCTAACTCTTGTTCGAGTAGAGAATAGAGATGGGTAAGCAAGCAAAGTCAAAAAAACCAGAAAGCTATGGCAAAGGCAAGGTCACCCCTGTCCAAATTGCCTTCATCGTCGACCGCTATTTATCCGACAACAACTTCTCCCAAACCCGCTCTATCTTCCGCTCCGAAGCCTCCCACCTCATCTCCAAATCACCCGTTCAAGAGGTACTACATTTGTTTGTTTTTGTTTTTGTTTTTGTTTTTTGATTCTCAAATTTTGTTTTTCTGTGTGGGTTTGATTGAAGATCTATGTGGGTTTTGTAGGCGCCGAAGAGTTTGTTGAGTTTGGGGGCGATTTTGGATGAGTACATAAATTTGAAGGAGCAGAAAGTGATGTTGGATCAAGAAAAGTGCCGTTTGGATAGCGAGAAAATTCGGGTCCAGACGCTGTTGCGGGGTATGCAAGATGTAATGAGCGCTTACAATGCTGGTGGTAGCGCTGCCCCGACTCCACCACTGTTGATTTCGTCTGTGGCGAAATCAGCTGCTGTGGTTCCCCAGATGGAGCTTACAATTGGGTCTCCTGCAGGTACCAATTTCAGGCTCCTCCTCGTCAATGAAGAACTGAATCTTCAACCTCTGATTTATTCAATCACAGATGGCTTAGGATTAGCCATTTTCTATACTACTATTTACATTGAATTAGAAGATATGAATTAGTTTGCTTTCTTCACTGTTTCAATGTTCAAATTGAAGCCACTAAACTAAACTTAAAAGTGGCAATTAATTTTCTGAATAAAATATGGTGCTCTGTAAATGTTAATCTAAGTTGTGTTTGTGGATCTTAAATATACATATTCTTTTCCCACCAAGATCAAGTTGGCCAATGCTGCATCAAATTAAGGCCCCTACCACAGATATTCCCCAATTTGAACTTGATGCAATTGGTAGTTTCAGTGATGATATGATTTTGGTTGTAGTGCTCAAATTTGATCTTATATATATACCCATACACAGATTGCAATTTCATGTAGTTTTGAGGAACTTGAAATTTGTGAAAAATGTGGGAAGTAGGGAACTAATCTTGGTGAAAGGCATGTTGAAACAGTAAGGATGGGTTAATTCATCAGTAATTTGCTGAAATAAGGATGGGTTGATTTTCAATTTTTCATGAGAAAAAAAAAGTGCAAAAACCTTATAATTGAAAATGAAAAGTGGCAACTTCTTCGTCAATTTGACTTTTTTCTGATGCCATTTTTATCAGGTTATCCTATGTACAACACCCCAGTAATGATGCCAACATCCAGACCCTCCAACACTCAAACCGATCCTTCGAATTTCTCCACACCAATTACAAATCATCCATCTGCGAAAAGGAAAAAAGGTTCAAAAGATGTTCCAGATGCCCCTATAACTGCAAAGAGATCTTGCAGTAACTTAACCACCAAGCAGCTACCAGTCAAAGGTAAAATTTCACTAAATGTAGCAGCCCTAGTAGATTCTGCATCTTTGATCCTTATTTTTTTTGATTTATATCCACTTTTTTTTTGTGTGTGTAGGTACCAACACACTTCCACAATCAAGCATGGCAATGAATAATCAAGAAAATTCTCTGAAATTTGCTGCTGGTCAATCATCACCTAATGACAATGTACTCAATGGGTCACCAATTCAAGGATCTAGTGTTGCCAAGTGTTTGTTCAACCAGCCTAGTCGGTCCCCTCCAACTAATTTGACTGTTCCTAAGACCCCTCTCCAAGCAACTTCCTCTCAAACTGACAAATCGGTTTCTCCACTGGAAACTTCTTCCACTGCTACTTCTGGTAATGATGTTACTCCCCAGCAAAAGACCTCTACTAATTGCATTGTAATCTCTTCAGAGACAATTAAAGTGAGCCCCGTCAAACAACTAACCTGTTACTCAATTGAGAGGAACCATTGCATTTCTTCTTCCTCACCAGTCAAGGCAAACTTGAAGAGGCTCAACAAGAGAGAGCATGTAAAGGGTAGGCTAGATTTTGATAGTTCTGACACACTACTGAACTCGAGCAAACCAATTCCTGATGCCATTTCAGTACCTGAATTTGACAAGGAAGGAGAGATTTTTGACTTAGATTTGCCTAATTTGGATGCTTTCGGCATAGATTTTTCCCTCGGTGAACTGTTGGTTGATTTTGATCTTGATGGAGAATTTACTTGCCAGCCAGCCATGGATTCTTCTCCAAAGTCCCATTCTGGGTAAATTCTTATCCTAATGTCTTATATTATCTATGACTCAATTGTCAATTATTCTTATTCATACCATCTAACTGCATTTTCATCCCTTTGTATTTTGTTTCATGAACGTTGTACAGGTCCCCACATGAATCATGGAATGTTGATTCGGGGGCTAATCAAGTATTGTCTGAGCTATCATCAACCATGGCAGAAATTCTGTCGGAGAAAGACATGAATGTACACGGCCCAGAATCTGTGACTTCTGTGAAGTCCACAAGAAAATGCATTAAGATTATAAGTCCTGGTAACTATACCATTCAATTCTGTATCTTATCCCTTTAATGTTCATTTGAAAGATTTAGAATTAACAATAATTTTTTTTTCTTTTTAATGCAGTGAAAAATTGTAAAAGCTCCTCTTTGGATCAGGAAAATCTGTCAAAAGACTGACTGGTTTTACAATAAAAATGACTCTTAGACTGACTTGTTAACCATTACAGTGCTTAATGTGAGCTCTTGGTGTTTAATAATCTAAATTTGTAAAGAACCAACATCAATTCTATTCAAGTAGTAGATTAACTGCCTTCCAATTATCTTTTGGTTCAGATAGTTGTTATAACTGCAAATTGTATGAAGGTCTTGAAAAATATGATACAAGCATACTCATGTATTGACGACTCTTTGGAATACATATTTCTTGTACCATTCTTTCAATGTCTGATTGTTCATTGGATTGATGTTGTGGTTAATGAATTGATTTGTGATTTTCGACATTTCATCAGCAGAATAGTTCTGTTGAAATTATATATATATATAAAAATGCTTGAAACATTATATAGAAATATGAAACAGTAAAATTCTAGGCTCACAAGTAATTCTCCAATTTTATATGGGCTTTCCAATAAAAAAATTATACTAGTAGAAGTTGGATCATAGTTGTTTATAACAACACGGCTACTACTTGATACAAGAACTTTTTTTTTTCCTTTTTTCTTTCCACGTTTCAATTTCATTTCAAGTAGTGCTGGAAAAATTCAAACTTTTGGGCATACTGATGCAATTGTTGTGCTAACAAATTGAATTGCACACTTTGATATTCTTGTTTGAATAATATATTTTTTTCCTTCAAAATTCCACGGCAAATAATATAAACATGCTTGAAACTTTATATAGAATTGTGGACAGTAAACAATTTGGATACCTAGCCTTGGTATTTCTCAAGCCAAGTACTTCTCCAATTTCTCTATTTCATCTGGGCTTCCAATGAAAATTGAAGAACGCTGGTGAATCTGCCAAAGAAAATATTAGAAGTTGGATCATTACTGTTGTTTATAGTTCCATTTTTTTTTTCCATCTAGGTTTCCATTGTCAAGGATTGTTGTCTATTATTCAAAATGGACAACTCTTGATCAGTTGTGAGGGACCCTCATAGATGTGACTTGATATTATTGTATTCATCAATTAGGTTTGTTTTCCACTGTTCATTTGAGCATTTTGCAAATGAGCTAAGCTCAAATGAACTTTAAATTAGCTGAGATCGAGCTTTGTTCACAAATAGCTTAGTTCATTTGCAGTCCTAGGTGAGAGGTAGGCTAGTTCTACCTAGTCTCTCGGGTTGAGAGGTTTATTTTTGTAAAGACTAGACTAGGCAACTTGTCTTGAAGCATGTCTCTAATTAAGAGCATGCCTCGTTTTGCCTAAGCATTTTTCTAAACTTAGTTGTGTATCTCTTTTTTAGATGTGCTACGACTTAATTTTTATGATTAACACCAACCAAGAAAAAGAAAAGGAAGGAGAAAAAAACCTGAGTTGGTTTGATTTCTAGTATTCTCTGATGTCCATCAATTGCCTTCCCACCAGCTTGTTCCACCAAATAGCTCATCGGCGCACACTCATACAACAGCCTCAGATTCCCATTCTTGGCATTCTTGCTCTTGGGGTTCCCATACACTCCACCACACAGCAGCATTCTATGGATCTCACCAACAAGGTAGCCTATGTATCGGCCAGAGTAGGGCTTCCCATTGGCCCCAGGCTGCTTCAGGTGGTTGAGGTATTTCTTCAACTTGTCATCCCACAAATCATAGTTTCCTTCATTGAATGAGTAAATTTTGCCTGTTTTTGGTATCTTGATGTCTTCATGAGTTAGAACAAATTCTCCGTAGCCTGGGTCCAAGGTGAAGCCAAACACCCCTCTCCCAAGTGACACTGTGAGGATCACTGCACTCGAGTACAGACAATACCCTGCAGCCAGTAAGTTGCTACCGGGCTGGCAAACGCTGACGATGCACTTCTGTTCTTCTTGACCAAGCTGTTGTGGAAATGTCAAATTATGATGAGAGAATAGTACATTGCAAAGGAATTGAGCTATTCATAAAAAGATTGAATTGGCACGTTGCTAAATAAATGGCATGAACGTGGCTCGTGGTGCCAATGTCAAATTATAAGCCTGAGAAAAAAATAGCACATGGGCTACAAATAGGGTTGTGCAAAAAAATAAATCAACCCGCATTGATCCAAACCAATTTGTGCAGTTTGAGAAAGTGAGCGGGTTGGGTTTGACAGGTTAGATGATAAAAATTAATGGGTTAGTTGGATTGCGAGTTAAAATTTATCAATCTGTCTACAAATTGACCCAACCGGGCTATATATATGCCACACACAACGATGCATATTTTCATTGATACAATGGGCCATATTTCACATGCTGAATGTTAAAATCCACCTCACCTACTCCACTAAACCTTCACCCACTTAAACCTACTCCACTAAACCTAACCCACTACAACACTACCACCTCACCTACTCCACTAAACCTAACCCACTACAACACTACCACCTCACCTACTCCACTAAACCTAACCCTTTTTTTAATTTTATTACCTCTTTACTTTTTTACATATTTTTTCAAAAAAAAAAACTAAAAAATTAATTTTAAATTACATCATCTATTTATTATGACATACAGGTAAGTCCTCAAAAATTAAGTAGTATGGGTGGCGTAGGGGTTTAGGCCTATTTTGACAATTAGGTTAAAAGTTGGTTTTTTAATTTTTTTTAATCATTATAGACTGAAAGGTCTCATTACATATTTATAAAAAAAATTAAAAAATTTGCCGTGTCCCCTGCCGTGTCTATGTTCCCATTTTTTTAGAAATTGCTGTGTCCCGTGTTCGTGTCTATGTCCGTGCTTCATAGGTCTTCCAACCCTCATTTCTTTCTCGCTTTTATTTAAATGTTTACCATAGTTGTATAGTATCATATTTTCTTTTATCATTCTCATGCTTTGTATCTATTTTTGCATACATTAAGGTTCAGCTCATCATACTTGATGTCGTTATCATTTCCTACTTGATTGTGTGCCCTACCTCATGCTTTGAGTTGATTCACATGTCATGTTAGTAGCCGAATCTAGTAGTTACATTTTGGTATGTGATGCATTAGCCACTTTGCATATTAGGATCATGCATTTTTTCTAACTATCTTTTTTTCTTTGGCTTGCTACGGTTAAGTACTAGGTGAGCAATTTTTGCTTTAGCATATCATGTGTGTTTGTGTTGCCATGTCGAGCATACTACCATAAGGCTACTCGCTTATTTGAAATATCTCTATGAATGTCTGTGGATGGAGGCTATTTTGCTTAGATTGAAATGACTTTGATTATTGTACATATGAGCTCGCTTTTCCTTTCAGTTGCACATATTCAAAAACTCTTTTAAAAAAAGCATGAAATCAAGGTATTTCAAAGTAAGTGACGTGGTCTATACTTATTTGCTCCACATAGTAATGTTTTATTAATGATCAGAACATGAGCATATAATGTCCATAAAATTCACATCATGACTTAGTAGAGGCCGATCTTTGGTCGGGTGAGTGGCGTGCTCAATTCATGACCTTCTCCTCTCATACCTAAGTTTCCGAATCGAGACAACTTTGGTTATGACGGACAAGTGGCCTTTGGCACGAGTCACGAGTTAATATTAGGTGGTGACTCTGAAAATCTGACGATGCAGCCTATTTTTTACATCTCTAATGATTAATGGATTTTCTAATATTTGTCAGATTTGGACTCTCATTCGTGTTTCTATTTCACATTGCACTTGTGAAACCAAATTCAGAACTACGGGAGTTTGAATCGTAGGGAATCGCATCCAAGGAGACTAAACGTGCTCAATTTCTAGGACTAGTGCAGACACCTCCGGCGGTGGATGGATCGATGAATTTCAAAAAACAATGGCTACTCCATTTCCATGGGGGTATTTCACCATCTGATGCAAGGTAGAAGAAACTGCCTTCACTTGATGGAGCCACGGCCGCCCTAAGAGTAGATTGAAAGTGGCGGGAACCTCTAGAACGTGAAAGTCAATTTCATGCTGCCCCGGCCCAACCTTGGTCTGAATTTTCACTGTCCCCATGACTTCTCTGCTTGTGTTGTCGTATGCCCGAATCACCTGGGCTGTCGGCACAAAGTCCGCGGTCTTTAAATCGATTGCATAGGCAGTCCTTGCTGGATACACATTGATGGTGGACCCTGTGTCAATAAGAACCACCGGTATCCATTTATTTTTACACTCCACAGAGATGTAGAGTGGCTTGTTGTGATTCGCGCCCTCAGGTGGCAATTCCTTGTCGGAGAAAGTTAACATCGGGGTAGCTTCTCCCAAAAAAACTAAGCCCACCAGCTGTTCGGGCATGTCAGTGCTCAGTCGGTATACCTCATGAATAAGCCCCAACACATCCCCGGGATGGGATTAGGCAAGAGCGGCCGGAAAGGCGTCGCAGCATTGGCCGGAGTAAGTGCCACACAACCCACATACCTTTGGCTTGGGTTATCTGCCCACCAAAGACGATTGGATAAGGAAAGGCAAGGAGATGGCTGGGAGAGTTAGAGCGAAGCAGGCAGGGAAGCCTTTTGAATTAATGCACCGACCCATCCAGGGTACCCTAAACGGACGCTTCGTCCGGGAGGGGGAGGACTTTCCATTTTGTGGCTTCCCAGAGCCTCTGAGGAGCGCAAAAAACCAGCTACAGGATGATCCTTTAATCAACTTACTTGGCATACTGATGCAATTGTTGTGCTAACAAATTGAATTGCACACTTTGATATTCTTGTTTGAATAATATATTTTTTTCCTTCAAAATTCCACGGCAAATAATATAAACATGCTTGAAACTTTATATAGAATTGTGGACAGTAAACAATTTAGATACCTAGCCTTGGTATTTCTCAAGCCAAGTACTTCTCCAATTTCTCTATTTCATCTGGGCTTCCAATGAAAATTGAAGAATGCTGGTGAATCTGCCAAAGAAAATATTAGAAGTTGGATCATTACTGTTGTTTATAGTTCCATTTTTTTTTTCCATCTAGGTTTCCATTGTCAAGGATTATTGTCTATTATTCAAAATGAACTCTTGATCAGTTGTGAGGGACCCTCATAGATGTGACTTGATATTATTGTATTCATCAATTAGGTTTGTTTTCCACTGTTCATTTGAGCATTTTGCAAATGAGTTAAGCTCAAATGAACTTTAAATTAGCTGAGATCGAGCTTTGTTCACGAATAGCTTAGTTCATTAGCAGTCTTAGGTGAGAGGTAGGCTAGTTCTACCTAGTATCTCGGGTTGAGAGGTTTATTTTTGTAAAGACTAGACTAGGCAACTTGTCTTGAAGCATGTCTCTAATTAAGAGCATGCCTCGTTTTGCGTAAGCGTTTTTCTAAACTTAGTTGTGTATCTCTTTTTTAGATGTGCTATGACTTTATTTTTATGATTAACACAAACCAACCAAGAAAAAGAAAAGGAAGGAGAAAAAAACCTGAGCTGGTTTGATTTCTAGTATTCTCTGATGTCCATCAATTGCCTTCCCACCAGCTTGTTCCACCAAATAGCTCATCGGTGCACACTCATACAACAGCCTCAGATTCCCATTCTTGGCATTCTTGTTCTTGGGGTTCCCATACACTCCACCACACAGCAGCATTCTATGGATCTCACCAACAAGGCAGCCTATGTATCGGCCAGAGTAGGGCTTCCCATTGGCCCCAGGCTGCTTCAGGTGGTTGAGGTATTCTTCAACTTGTCATCCCACAAATCATAGTTTCCTTCATTGAATGAGTAAATTTTGCCTGTTTTTGGTATCTTGATGTCTTCATGAGTTAGAACAAATTCTCCGTAGCCCGGGTCCAAGGTGAAGCCAAACACCCCTCTCCCAAGTGACAGTGTGAGGATCACTGCACTCGAGTACAGACAATACCCTGCAGCCAGTAAGTTGCTACCGGGCTGGCAAACGCTGATGATGCACTTCTGTTCTTCTTGACCAAGCTGTTGTGGAACTGCCAAATTATGATGAGAGAATAGTACATTGCAAAGGAATTGAGCTATTCATAAAAAGATTGAATTGGCTCGTTGCTAAATAAATGGCATGAACTCGGCACGTGGTGCCAATGTCAAATTATAAGCCTGAGAAAAAAATAGCACATGGGCTACAAATAGGGTTGTGCAAAAAAATGAATCAACCGGCATTGATCCAAACCAATTTGTGCAGTTTGAGAAAGTGAGCGGATTGGGTTTGACAGGTTAGATGATAAAAATTAATGGGTTAGTTGGATTGCGAGTTAAAATTTATCAATCTGTCTACAAATTGACCCAAACGGGCTATATATATGCCACACACAACGATGCATATTTTCATTGATACAATGGGCCATATTTCACATGCTGAAACTAACAGAAGAGAGAAATTGTACTGTGGAATCATCATCAAGGTTGAGGAGGCATTGCTCATCGGGGCCATAGATGCCGAAGATGGATCCTGTAGTTAGAGCAGTGTCGATGTTGGCGGATCCGTCAATGGGGTCAAATACAACAACGTAGTTTCCAGAGTAACTCTCTTCAACTGCAACTGGTACGTCTTCTTCCTCTGATGCTATAATCCCTGTCCTCCCACTAGATCTCAGACAGTTACAGAACACCTGCATATTTTGATCCACCATTTCACTTGAGCTCATCACAAGCACCAAAACCGAGCTGACTGCTCCAGACTGACCGAAATTTTGAGCTCTATTTGGTTGTGTTTTTTTTAATGTTTATATGAAAAAAAATTTAAAAATTAATTTGGTAAAAAATAAATAAATAATGATTATTTTTGTCAAATTAGTTTCTAATTTTTCAAAATTTTTAAAAAAAAATTCTAAAAAATCAACCAAAATTTTCACAAGGTACAAATGTGTTTGGTCCTAAATTTTTTTTACACTGATATGGACCAAAATATTATATTTAAATATTTTTGATATTCTAAATTTTGAGCTTGGAAGGTTAGTTATCAATACTACACATTTTACAATAAAAATTAGAAACATTTATAAAGGAACTTTCACATTTTCTCTTCATTATTTTTTATTATAATTGATTCGACAAATTTTTATAAAGCCTTTAAATCCTGATTCCCTATCTTACATTAAATCGAAATCTGAAAAAAAAGAAAAGAAAAAAAAGAATAGTAAAATGTGATCAATTTTGGGACTAAAAATTCTCTACTCACAACTGAACTATTGAAAATCTAAAGGTACAGCTAATCTTAAAACACGATCTAACAAAGTTAAATATTTTGGCACGAAAGAGAGGACAATTTGAGAACAGAGAATGGTGTTTCCCTTCTGCAGGAAAACCAAAACTGAATGCTGATGGCTGCTCGAAAGGAGACCCCAGCCCGGTCAAGCAGGCTATGGAGGACTCCTGCGTGATGAGGCTGGCACCTGGCTATGGGGATATTATGGCAAATTGGGCAACTGCTCAAGCTTGGAAGCAGAATTGCGGGCCATCTATAGATGCGTCACCATAATTTTCCAAAAGGGAATGATGGAAGTGGAGATCGAAACTGACTCTGAACAGGCCATCAATCAAGTGCAGAATGGCCCAAGCCACAACTCACCCTACAAAGCCTCATTGTTGTGTTTGGTTGAGAGATTTAGGAAGAGATTTGGAAAGAGAAATGAAAAAGATAGGTGAAATATAAATAAAATAAACTTACATTTCACATAGTTTCACATATTTTTTCTTTTTTTTTTTTACAAATCTCTCTCAAATACCCCAACCAAACAATGCATAATACTGTGTTCGGTTGGGAAATTTGAAAAGAGATTTAGAAAAGAAAAGAAAAAAGATAGGTGAAACATTTTGCTAGTTTCACATACCTTTTTCTTTTTCCTTTCCATTTCCAAATCTTAACCAAACACGGCAATAAGTTTTTGTTCCTCAGGGAGGGTAACAAAAGTGCTGACAAATTGGCCAATAGGGAGTAGCACAAACCTGAAGATGTGAGAGCTCTGGTCATAGATGATATGATATGACTGGAGTTAGTGTTGTGAGGGACTGACTAACCCTCTAGTATCTGTAATTTGATGTTTCAAACTCTTGTTTCTTAAATTTCCGTTGAATCGAAAAAAAGAGAATTCCATGCCCAATTTTAATATCTCAACCAACAAAATTGAAAGAGTGCTAATTTTTTCCTCAATCCTGAATCGAATCGAATCCATTACCATTGCAGTTTTAATCCCAATGTTCGGACAATGTGTGGAATTGAATTGGCATAAGAGACGAGAGTAAAGATGGAAAGCAATGCTGATGAAATTACAAAAAACCTCATTGGAGATAACGTCGAGTTTCTTCTGATGTTCGCCTTGGATATTGACGGTGCCGTGAGTTCCAGTGAGGTTGACGATGCTGGACCTCTGCAGGAGAGAAGCGATCTGCTTGCAAGCCAATGATATGCTGGAAAGCACAATTGTGAGCTCGGCATCTATGTGACCTGCCTGTTCTTGCTTCAACAGCCATGTCGTTAGGTTTTCTATCTCGTAAACGCTCTTTCTCTGCTTCTTTTTAATCTCTGCTGATGATACTGTCGTCGATCTCGCTGCTGCCTCGCACCGGACTCTGAGGTTGAAACCGGTGTTGTGGCGGTGGTGGTGGGAGCGGCGGAGATGGAGAGGAGAGAGATGAGATGTGAAACGAGAGTTTGAGAAGAGAATGTGTGAGGACTGCGTTAGAAGAATCGCTTCAACCATAGCTCTCTCTCTCTCTCTCTCTCTCCGTCTCCCTCTGAAATGTGGTTTGAAGGGGACCCTACTTACGTGCTTATCTTGCCCTGTACAGACAATTGTATGCACCTGACTGGGCTTTGAAGGGGACCTACTCACCGACGTATGCGTATAAAAGTAAAATTAAAACGTAATTAGCCTGTTTGTTTGGTGACTATTTTCAGGATTTGTTTTTTAAAAATTATTATTATTATTATTTATTGAATTTTATTTTAATATGCCAAACATGCATTGGAATGTGTATTCAAATGTGGCCTTGGAATCAATTTTTGAAAACTTATATCAAACATAACATTCAAATATAAGGGTGGAATTATGATTTGAAACTTAAACCAAACAGAGCCTAAAAAATTCACTAAATACCAAAAATATAAATTAAAAAAATGAAAATTCAATATATTTTTCATATTTTTGTATATTTATTAATTTTTTAAAATATTTTTTTTATAAATATTTTATTTTTTAGATACATCTAAGTAAAATATATTTAAAAAATTAAAAAAATTACTTAAAATTTTAAAAATATTCATTAAAAATAAAAAACTCAATTTCTAGAAAATTGAAACAAAACACATTGAATAATTTTTTTTTGAAATTAGAAGGAAGCTTTTGTATAAATTCTAATTTTTTGTAAGTAATTATTTATTTATTACTATTATTATTATTATTTTATTTTATTTTATTTTTAACTTTATTAATTGTGTGGTTACATGAGAATTTAATGTATAATTTAATTAATTTAATTATATATAATTAATTTAAATATTTATATATTTTTATATATATATAAAAGGTGTTAGATATATATATTGATCTTATATTTATATTTTTATATGTTATGTTTATGTTGTATTTATATAATATTATACAATATATCAATTAAGTTAGAATAGTCAATAAGAAATGAAAATAAAAGAGAGAGAGAGAGAGCAGTCGAGAGAGAGAGAGAGTAATCAAATAAAAAAGAGTGTTCTGTGTGGCTGGGTGTGTGTGTAAAAGAGACACTACGTCAAAATTGGACTTTAGCGGCGATTTTTTATCACCATTAGATGATGTAAAACCGCTGTTAAAGCCTTTAACGGCGGTAATTTAGGACCGCTGTTTATACTCGTGTCGGAAAAGGTACAACCGTCGTAAAAAGTAAATTACCGTTGTTAAAAGTTGACAAAAAACGGCAGTAATATATAAACAAAAATGGCGGTTCTTTACCGCCGTAAATAGGTTCAAATTTTTTTAAAAATAATTCTTTCTTCTTGCACCTCCCAGGTCTCAAACCCTTGACCTATAATCCATGCATGCCAACCACTCCACCACAACCACTCGATATGAAATATATTCCCTAAATAAATATTTAAACATTACTTTTGTGTTATTGTAGATGGTCATGTTCAACCTCTGGCCGCCGTAGTCACCACTCGCCGGAGTTCCGCCGGAGCTCTGCCGGCAAAGGCTGCCGTCATTAACGGCGGTAATAAGAGGGCTTTAGCGGCGGTTTCGTTACCGCCGTTAAAAGAGCGCTTTAGTGACAGTTTTTTTAACGGCGGTTTCATTATCGCCGTTAAAGATACTTTAGCGGCGGTAACGAAACCGCCGTTAAAAATACATTAACAGCGGTATTAACGGTGGTTTCGTTACCGCCTTTAATAGTATCTTTAACGGCGATAACGAAACCCGCCGTTAAAAAAACCGCCGTTAATGCTCTGTTTTGGCGTAGTGAGAGACGGTGGAAAGGAAGAGGAAATGAGGAAAAAGGACAAGAGAGTTAGCGTTTTGTTGTGGTAGTTTTATTAATTTTTTAAATTTTTTTTTGATCTTTAAAAAAACTATTGTGGATATAAAATTTACTTTTCTTGATTTATGTTTATTTTGTCTCTTTTATTTATTTATTTTTTATATATATTTGATGTTGGTTTGATATGGTATTGTTAGAAAAAATAATAGTACCAAACTATATGGAAAATATAATTTAAAATTATGCAAACGCTTTTTGGGCAAAATCAAAAACTGAAATAAATCAACATAATAACGTGATGAAATTTACAGTACATAAAAAGATAAAACCTAATCGAGTCGAGTGTGTGACACTTTTTTTTTAAGACAGATTCGTCCTCCCACCGGTGCTTAGAATTCAATGGACGTCTATCTCCCAGGATACAATGATCAATGTCTTGCACAAGCAGCACTACTATTACAAGCCTAACGAACTTTGCTGTGCATATACTCTCTTTATAGGAAAATTAGACTCAGGAAATATGAAGAATAAATGCAAAGTGAAGAAGAATGACAATTCACTATCCCAAATGAAGTGAGGGAGATGGAATATATAGACTTCTATGTGACTCTTTAGAAAGGTTTGACCTTTTTATGGGACACACCCTTCCATCTCAAGAGACACAACCATTGGAGTAAATTTAAATTCAAATTTTCTAACAATCCCCCACATGAATGAAATCTACGGAAAGGACATGCAACAACATACAGACAAAGAGAGAGTACATTAAGGAAATACCCTGCATCGGGAGAGATAGCTTTTGGCTTTGAACCTTCTCTAGTGAAAGCCTATCGAACTTACTAGCTAATCAGTGGACGTGATGTCTTGAATTGTTCAGCCGTTTGTATAAGCCAAGACAATAGAATTCACACAGAATATCTCCAGGCACAATTTAGTTCTCACGGTTGTGCCTATTTTGGCCTTGGGCAAGTCCTGGTGTTTCATGAGTGCTTTAGAAAATTTAGCCTTTTCAATTCTCATAGAAGCGGCCCCTTCACACTCATATAGGTGATCCTTATTTCAAGTTTCTTAAATACTCCTCTTGAAAGATACTCCTCTAGGATTTTCAAGATATAAGTGATCATTAAAAGCATAGCTTACCCTAAATCCCTTACATACAACAAATGTTGCAGATATCACTCTCATCATAGGAATGGATAGGAGATAGACTCCTTTAGTGATTTCTGGCGAGCCACACATAACTTAGTTGTCCCTTTGAACTTAGTTCTTGGGATCTCTAGTCATCTAAGTAGGGTTACCATTATGATGACTCTGATGTAATAAGCTTTAATCACATTCCCCTCGATGAACTTTTGCTCTTTGGTCAAACTTTTTATTTAGCGGCCGCTATTATTCGTTTGACCTTCTCAGTTATATATCATTAGTGGATCTATTATATTATCCTTAGACAATATTCACAACTGAAAGCAAATGTCCTACGGTATTAAGTCTTTGATTACATTGAGACTTACCGTTACTCTATGTCACTCCCATTTTCAAATTTAAATAATAAATATAGAGTTGTTTCTTAAGAGTTAATAAAACCATTTTTGCTTCTACTCCAAGTTTGTCCTATAGAAAGAATTGAGATTCTTTGTGGACCTACAATCAGAACTGTTACTTTGGTAAAATCCTCCAAGCACCCCCACATTTTAAGCATTCCAAGAAAACTTAATTTCTCTTGCTAGTGTATAATAAATACACCCTCACAATTTTGAGATAAATCAAAATATATCATTAATTGGCGTGCTTGAACTAAATAACAAGATGTAAATTGCTTTGTGAATATAATCACAATACTAATTTGTCTAAAAACAATTAGACTTCATAACTTGCTTTTGCAGTACAAAGAAGTAATGACTAAAACCAGTTGTGGCCACAACACTTTGTCAAATAACATTTCTTTATTAATTTCTTTTTGTTTACTGCAACCCTAATTCCAATCTCAACATGGAATATAAATATCACTGTATAATTACATTTACATCTTATTTGTCTTATCCAATATTGGTGACTACGTCGACAATTACCAAAACATCTTTCACCCATAAAATATTTTAACTCATATAATATTTCATTATGGAGTTTATCGGTCACCACACCAATTTCACAGTCATTAATCCAAAGAATGTTAGAATTCCTTTTATGTCAAAATACATAAGTTTATATTTTTATCAACACTTTGATAAATAATTGACATCCATTAATAGTACACCACATACCAAATTGATATTAATGACATCATAAAAAAAAATGATGCTATTAATTGTTAACTCTACAACATATGTAGACATGGACAAGATTAACAAGTCAATCATAATCATAATTTTTCCATTAATCTTTCTCCCCCACATTTGTAATAATATATAAATTAGCACAAACAACATGATTCATTTCCAGACAAGTGTCACCGCCACAACTAATAATTCATTTTTGATGAATTTTACTTTATTTATTCAAAATATTTGGGACAAAGCAAATTTAATTAATTCTTTTAATTCAATCGATAAAGTCCCACATTAATATTATGGTTCATGGTTAAACAAATTCTACTATACAAGTAAAATAAAGATTGATGACAATTTATGTCACAAAACTCAAAGTTACTTTAAAAATAACTTTCAACTTGATTATTAACAAACTAATAATCAACACAAAAGATTCTTCAATCTAATTCCAATTAAATGAAATGACACCACCATTTCAATCATCATATTTAAATTTCTCTCGTGTTAATGATTGTTTTGATATTGCAAGAGTATTATTACCATAATCAAATATAATACTCCAAAAGATATCCATTGGTAGTACAGTCAAAAAATTAGCACATATATCACACAATTTTTCATAATAATTTCATGACTACATGATGTCTATAACAAGTTGTCAAAATTAAATAATAATTTGACATCAAAGTACTATATACGTTTGATATTTCTGTGAATGGTGATGGACTTTCTCAGAATATCCGCTAATCAATATAAAGATACACTACTGTTTAATTAATTCACAGACTTTCTCAGAATATCCGCTAATCAATATAAAGCTACACTACTGTTTAATTAATTCACACCACAAAAAGAGTGCAAAGAAACCGTTGTTTCAAATATGAACCATGCTAAAACACTTCAAAAAAAAAAAAGAAAAAGAAAAAGAAAAAGAATAGTTGTTTCAATTCAAAAGACATATCTAAGAAGAGATGGCAACTGTTGGTACAAAACTAATAATAATAGTTTAACTGCCTTATGATACAAAACAATGTAATCAAATTTGCAA